CGAAGAAACAAACGAACGCGTTCGTGTAATGACGGATTGGTTGTTGACGATTTTCACGTGGAAATTACACTTCCGAAAATCCCGGTGATTCTGCGCGGTTCATGAGTACAATTATAGAATATAAATGATTTACTCTCATACTAATTAATTATAATTATAGGTATCGTAGTTACGGCGCGGGTCAATTGCTCGTTGCCCGTGATCAGATAATATAATCAATATCCTATAAACAATCGCTCGGTTTATGCGAATGTGATACTCTAAGAATTTCTCGCATCTCAGTGTGTTCTTTCGACGTTGCCTAGGTGATAGCGACGCAGGGGTGGGTGTAATCCTCCCAGCACTGTATACTGTGTATACCTACTCACACATAGTAGTGATAGACGTGATGGCGGGTTATCGATTTTACACGTACCCGTAGTTTAGGCTTTTTCTACTGCGATCCGCAGTGTTGATCGGTCGATTTGATCAACTTTGTCTCTTTCCATCTTCCATATAGTCCCGTGGACTTCCCCGAAGACTAATATCTATGAGGATGAGTTAATTTAGAGGCGATTTGTGTGATCTTAGGTAGAGATGTGACAATGAGCCAACTTTTACCTTTGTATTGGTCCCAAGTTGTAAGTCTACCTTAAAGGTAAACAATTTATGCTTTGCGGCTTCGCGATTTTGAATCGTGGCGCCACAAATCTCTAGCGGTCGCTGTCACAAATTTATATCTATCTATAAACTAACCTAATTATAAACTATTAACAAACCATTGAGTAGAAATTATTAATTCGAGCATGCATTGTGAATTCGACAGTAAATATCGAAATAAAAACCACGCACTTGTTTTATAGAGAATGTAACACGAGATGACGTGTCTAAAAAGTCTAAACACATAAATGTAAGAGATGGCATTAGTAAATAACATGAATAAACATGAAAAGAATCTGTTATGTTGAAAATCAGTAAAATACACAAAGATTTTAATGACATAAGCAATTCCATTTAACCAATGAAAATAACCGCCACTCACCATAATAAAGAATATTAACATTGGACAATGACGTTTGCATAAGCACTGGCAATATTGCTCAAAATTGCACCGGCAGAATATATTCACACCTTACAGCATATATTGAACTTAAGTAATTATAGAAGCAATTATTGAAAATACAACCGACTTAAATAACTAGAGAACCAAATCTTCAATGAAACTAATACAGGAGAATGATAATAATGAATAGAAAAAACATTGTTACACATTTATACTAATTTGACTGTAGATGCTCAACTACATCACAATTGCGCTTGTCTTGAACGTCAGAATAAATATCATCGAATATACTTAACGTGACATAACAACGAAAAATAACCTAATTTTTTTAGATTATCTTGATTTACTATAACATTAATAGATTTCATTTTTATATATTTATATATATATATATATATACACTTATATACGTATATAACAAACGCATATCAAGCATTACGATCTCTAGAATTTTTTATCAAACGCCACAAAGAAATAAATTAGCATTGTGACTTCAAATTTTTCCAGAACGCTTTGATATGCAAACAACTGTGCTTAAATAGAATCACGAACACGACTACACTCCACGCAGATCTCGTTACATGATTGAATCTGTTGCTACGGCAAGAAAGGGAGAGAGAGCTTCTCTGATTCCCTCCGTTGCCATAACAACCTAGGTCCAATTGAGCTTCATTCTAACTCTGGCGAGCCAGCTCCTGTTACCATGACAACCCAGCTCTGCAAGATCGCATCTATTGCCATGACAACCCAGCTCTGCGGGACCACAGCTATTGCCATGACAACCTATCTTTGGAGGGAATGCGTACGTAGGTCGAATAGCACGTGTCAGTTTTCACTACTGCTTGATGAATACTCAGGTGCCTGCTGTTGCTTTAATAGAGTCTTTTCCTTCCTGTAATCAATTTAATTAAAAATAAATTTAATTTAATTGTCGATTTATTATTTACCAGTTAGCTAAAACGCACACAAAAATCGCGAACTACAGCAATTTTGAAATGTGAACAGAGTTACACCGTGTTAATGCGCGTACATGGCAGAAAGCAATTTCGTGGCTATAAGTATGCATTGCACTGACATCTGCATGAAATGAGTACATTGCAATTAATGCAATTTACGCTAAAAAAAAGTCTGTTCAGAGTATGTTGCAAGTGTTTTTTCTTCTAAAATGGCAAATCGAAGAAAAGCATTAGGCTTCATGACCATTGAAATCACGGTTATAGTTTCTGTATGGTCCCCTTAAACTCAGATAAAATGCAACAACAACAAACTTTTTCTTACAACGACACGTTTGAGGTGAGGATTTTTGTGTGTGTGTTTCAGTTACGGTAGTTCCTACCCGTATGCTAACGATTATAAGCAGTGGGCTGTTAGGATTAAACCGTGTTAGCCATTTTCAGTAAAGATATGTGTTCCTGAATTCGCTCGGGAATTCACGTCTTTTCTCGTGATCGACTCCGGACTGACAGACACAGCCAAAAATATAAATAAAACATGATAATTCCATATACGATTTCATCAGAATCTGTACATGATATGATCGTTATATATTTGTGTGCGTGCATGCATGTGTGCATGAAATCGGGGCTGCCATTTCGTTTAAAAAAAAAGCAATAAAACTGTATCTACATAAATTATACAATCCGTGAAAGCTCCTTTCAATTTGATTGACGTCATGGATTTGTCATGCCCCATGAAATTAGATGTTCTAGCCATCTCATTTAAAACCAGTGAATTACAACCAGAATATATATATATATATATATATATATATATACATATATATATACATATATATATACATATATATATATACATATATATATATACACATATGATATATATATATATATATATATCGATGTCTAAATCCTCTGCATTTCACGAGAGTTAATTTCAATTACTAGGCAGTACATTACCTTGAGATTTTTTCCCCTTTTTGGCACATTTCTGACGAAACTTAAGTGATCATTGATTCCAATAGCTACCAGTAGCATTGTTTCGTTTGGCAATTTTTCTCACCCACCCTGACTGTACGTATTGCACTCAAACATAGTGCTATCAGGGGTGTATAATAAATATAGATGCATAATACCTGTAGTAAATATATGTATAAATATATGTATGTATGTATAAATATATGTATAAAAGTGTATATAATATATGTAGCATAGTGTATAATATCTGTCTATATTATACACGCTTGGTGCTATGCAAGGACCAGTCAAACTAGTGTTACAGCTGGCACACAGCATGCCTTATATTACAGCTGCTACACTTTATAACGCAGCTGGCTTGCATACAAAAAATTATTCGAATCAGATTAAAACACGACCATCAAATATTTCTCCAGAGAGATTATACGAACCAGCAAGTGTTCACAAAACTTTCGGTGGGCTGTGCCCCATCTTGATTTGTAACTAGGGATGCACTAAGTGATATTGGCACTGCAAAAAGGTCCTAATAACTTCCCAGTATTACAGCCAGTTATAATAACACTCACGAGTGATGAACATCCTAGCCTTACACACAGTCTCATGCACACACGCCACAACACATAATTATATGCATGCCCTGCGCCCACACGCCCATGTTTTTAGTGCATGTCTGTATGCAGCTGTAGCTAGAGCTATGTGTGTGTGTGTGCGTGTGTGTGTGTGTGTGTGTGTGTGTGTGTGTGTGCGTGCGTGCGTGCGTGTGTGAGTGCGTGTGAGTGTGTGTGTGTGTGCGTGCGTGCGTGCCGTGGTGCTGTGCGTGAGCTGGGCGTGCGCGTTGTGGGGCGTGCGTGCGTGCGTGCGTGCGTGCGTGCGTGCGTGTGTGTGAAGCTGCAGCAGCATTACCTCGCTTGAATGCGTTCGCACCGTGGGCACCGCTGCGCGACGTAGCACTTCTTATGGAAGCACGTTCCACACACTGAAATCGATGACAAAAATAAACCAATATGAAGTAACTACATTTCTGACCCACGCAGCAAGGGAGTAGGACAGCATTGCGAAAGAATCTTACAATCCATTTTGCTGATAACAACGTACAATTGAGCAACAAATTACAAAACAATAAATTATGTACTGCTCTGTTTTAGTTAATCACGTAGAAAACCATAAGCATCACGTGGGTATCAATAACCACGACTTAATAAAATATTAACTGGTAATTTTGGAACCTATTTACACTGATTTAGGTAACCAACAGGTAATAGGCCATTCGTTATATATAACATCAAGAGCTAATAATGGAGGTATTATTAGCTCTTGATAACATTCATGTTGAAATTACTGCCTTCCCCGTAGAAACTTTGGTTTGCAATAGAAAATAGTACAAAACGGGTGAATAGAAACTGAACAGAAATTGCAAGGACTTCATGTAGATGTGGCTCCAGGCAACCAATTTCATTGTGCACTAATAGAACTGTTATAGTTTCGCAGGAGTTAGAAATACTTGTTAATCCACTTACGGTGACACTGGGTGACCTTTTTCAACTCGAATGGATAGATAATGCTGCTGCTGTCTTGACAAAACTCACAGATAAAACCTTTGACGTGACATAACTGCAAAAAGTGAGAGAAAAACCTTAACATTTTACTGCATCTTGTAATCATGCATGCTGTTCCCCGTGTAACAATACAACTCTTTAAATATAGACATTTTAGATCCTTCTTCAACTAACCGAAACTTTGGTTTGATAAAAAAAAACATCAACAAAGTCAGAAAAAAAAGGCAACACGAAAAGACGACAAAAATTGACAATTTGCAAATACGACAAATTTGCGATAAAAATCCACTACTACTACCACTACCACTGGCAAAACCGATCAGCGGTTTGCACTAACATCACCAGAAAACTAACGATCCGTCCATACCTCTACATACTCACGGTTCACATAGCCCTGAATACGAAGGATAATCTGCTTATGAACTGGTAATTCAGGCAGCGAAACCCACACACAGCATAACCGTCGCGTGAACGACCGACGACCTATATACCTGGCATATACCTGGATACCTGATATACTACATACCTGGCATATACCTGGATACCTGATATACTATACATACCTGGATACCTGATATACTACATACCTGGCATATACCTGGATACCTGATATACTACATACCTGGCATACAGCTGGATACCTGATATACTATATGCCTGGATACCTGATATACTACATATTTGGAATATACCTGGATACCTGATATATACTACATACCCGGCATATACCGGAATACTTGATATACTACATACCTGGCATATACCTGGATACTTGATATACTACATACCTGGCATACACCTAGATACCTGATATACTACATACCTGGCATACACCTGGATACCTGATATACTACATACCTGGCATACACCTGGATACCTGATATACTACATACCTGGCATACACCTGGATACCTGATATACTACATACGTGGCATACACCTGCATGGATA